AACCGGCTACTATGGCACAAAGGATCGTTTTCTCAAAAGAGATTTGATTCAGCTCATACTGGAATAATTTTAGCATCAATAGTTCATCCAGCACGGTTCATACTCTCGGTTCATCCCGTACACTAATTGCCGCCACTTGACTTGCTAGCTCTTGTACAAGATCACTGCCAGAGGGAACATTTCCAACATCTGTATTCACTGGCCAAGTCATTGGAAGTACCAAGTCCCTACAGCAGATGACAATGTGATAAGTGGCTAATTAATAGAAATTCACACTCTCCTTTCTTTTTTCCAACAAAATGACATGCAACAGAAAAAGAGAAAAATTCCGAACAGCCTATAAATTTTTGAGACGACCTCGTGTCATCTAGAGCGGGTCATGTTAGTTTCGTTCTACCGTTCTCTCTTCTAACATGTTATACACCAACCCAAATAAATGTAATAAACCAACTCAAAATAAATGTAAAAAGCAGAACTAGAAGTCACATACTGTTCAACGCGCTTGAACAAGCATTGGCTTATATGATCAGCTGTATACTTCCCTAATACTGAATCAAGTTTCTTGGCCAATTTTGATATCTCATAACTTGGCAAAATGTCCAAAACTTTGATAACTTGAACGTCGCTTGAATTTTCCCGGAGAATGTCGATGGTCCAAATCAATTTCAACGGCCCTTTGACATCATATAGTTCCAACAGTTGTGAAGCAGCAATATCCATGTTACTGAGAATTTCAGGTTTGTGCAGCCGACGCCATCCATCTGAAAGCTTCTCCAAAAGAGAAATGACCTCTTTACAGATGACAATGTCTTGAATCTTAGACATGGATTTCAAGAATTCATCACTAAAACAAACCTATCATAGAAAAAACCGGGGTATGGTTAGTTAAATCTCGTTTACTATACCATCCATCCAATTTTATCTAGTTTTGTATACCAAACTTGCACTTACACTATAGGTAATAAATACTAATAGAAAGCAACTCCTTTGTGCTATTTACAGATGAGAAATTTATTTCATTGAAAGAATCAGTTCAACTCATTGTAGTATGGTACTGAAAGAAAATTAAATTCTTTATGTCCCTTTGACGTACTGTGACCTTTTTTTGAGATTTATAAACCCTAAGGGTCCATTTGATTGCAATGGTGGAAAATGGGTAGAAAGAAAATGAATTATAGGGAAAGTAATTGCCTAGAAAATCCATTTCCAGGGAATTGTTAATTACGTGTGTTTGATTGGAATAATTTTTCACCTTTGGCATGGAAAAATGTGGACATCAAACACTACTTTTGGGTGGAAATGGAATTACTTTTCCATTTTCCAAGGAATTCTAGCCCAATCAAACGGGGCCTAATTCTATTCCACCTAGAGAAATCAATTTTAAGAAAGAAAAATAAACACTTAAGAACATACAAGGTTTATAGAAGTTCGTTTTAATGTAAGACTGCGTCCTCTCCGGCCGCTGTAGTAATTTACTGTAATGCAATTAAAAAAAAAAAGGTATATAAGAGAATATCGTACACCTATTTTCTCTAATCTTTTTCCTCCTTTTTGGTAATATACGATAAATTAGGGCAAAACCAAATTTTACAAGGACTCCATTCCTTAAATAAGGATCAGCAATAATTAAGTTCCACAATTTAACATCCCTATCGGTGGCTTAAAAGATTTGGACATCATATTACCATAAATTAACGAATAGCAATGTCTGTTGAGATAAATTGAAATGTACCTTCCACTTTGCCTTTTGGAACAGAGAGGAGTTCATGTCAAACAACAAATTAACCTGGC